GAGAACGGCCAACTCGTTATCGAATCTCCCATAATGTATCTCTAATAATTTAGAAAACATTTCAAGCATAAAGAATTACAGATTTAGCTCTTGCATAATGTATGAGTAAAAACATTGAGTTGCTAGCCTGGAGGTTCCGTGTTCCATCCCTGCGTTGGCCGAGAAGTACAGGCAGAGATTCTAGCGGGGATCACGGTGGCTGAGTGGGTAAGACGCTGGCTCGCTAGCCTGGAGGTCGGGTGTTCGATCCCTGCATTGGCCGAGAAAGTTCATCCCGATTTTCAGGCCTGGTTCCCCTTGTCAGTGATGCAGGACGGAGGGCCTAACAAGGACAGCTGTCTAGTCGTTCAGATGGGACGAAAAACCGTGGTCTCGTGTACACATTGGCGTGCACGTAAAAGATCCCTTGAAAGTTGGAATTCGATATAAGAGTAGGCCATAGTGCCGCTGTCCGGGCAAAATTTCCTTCATAGCACACTGTGTGGCGTATGCCGTCTTCATTAGCCCAGTTCGGAGCAGAACAGTAGGACGTTAAACCCCATTTCATTTAATTTCAGAGATTCTAGCAAAGGGACAACTTATAGTCGTTCGGATAGGACAATTACCCGAGATTCGGTGTACACACTGCCGTACACGTAAAATATCCCTTGGCAAATGGAATTCGATATAAGAGTAGGCCGTAGCGCCGCTGTCCTGGCAAAATTTCGCTCATAGCACACCGTATGGCGTATGCCCGTCTTTTTTGGAGCAGATTAGTCGGGCGTTAAAACCCATTTCATTTCTTCTAACGGTATGACGGTGTGTATTCTGGATATTTCGAGAAATTCAGAATATCGGTTTTACGCTTACCCGACTGATCATATTTTCTGTGTAAAAATCGCCGTCCCTTAACTTTACCTCGCTTTTTGCTCATGAAGTGTTTTTCTGCAGATAAATTCCATCATTGAAATTTCGTTATTTACAACAGTCGCAACCAGTATTATTTTCAGACACCTTACTCAGTAATTAAGCTAGAAATATTAGGAAACAAATATTAAACACCTTACCGGATAAGGGCTATACAAGGGTAAATATTCTAGAAAAGCCAACTGAACATGCCCCGTTGAAAATTAACATGTAAATCGCCCAGAGACATGTCAAAAGGGGTATACCGGAAAAGTCGACACTATTAAATAAATAGGTTAGCTAGTATTATGCGTATAATTTTTAGAGAAAATATTAACGGAACTGGTTGCTGCGGGACCTTTCCTCAGCAAGCGCCGTCTTCAATAGCCCATCGTTGCAGAACACTAGGTCTTCAAACACCTTTTTATTTCATTCCCTGGACAAGCGGCCTTTGCGAATAATAAAATAGTGCAGGATCGTTGAGGTGCATTAAAATTTATTTCAAATATAGTTTATTTTATAATCGGAATACGTTCATTGTGTCTAATAGTCACAAAATATTTGAATGCCCGGGAGAGAATTGCAGGGTTCCTTCGTGACTAATTAGCATGTTGTTGTTCAAGCTTGGTGAAATGTTTGTTAGATATCGAGACTGACAAGAGTAATATTATCCTATAATATGAAGTCCCGCCAGTTCAGGACATTTCATTACCTAAATGATATTCTGTCTCTTCAATTTGTCCATTGTCACTAGTATTAAATCAAATAGCTACCTTTATTAACACTTCTAGGGTATTTCATTGTATCTTTCATATTCTCTACAATTGTGCAATAACCATCAAAACATATTTGATACAAGGGGTAGTACAAGAATATGCATTTAAACATCAAATTCACATAATGAAAAGAGACAAAGACATTAAATGATCTTTATAGATTTGCACTAGATCCACTTTTTTTTAAAATCGCAAATAGATACGTTAAAAGTGTATATAAAAAAAATTGACTTAAAGTTGCGTAAAGTTTTAACTCAACATTATCAATATCCGCACTCTTTGACATCACCGACACGAATTATTGTTCCATTTTTATCATATACCCCCGGCGACGGAAAATGGTCTTAGAGCGCACCAGAATCGCCAGGTATCGTGCTTTGGTCTCCATGGTCGCCAATGGTCGCCAAAACAAACAAACGCCAAGGTTCTGCGATCTGACCTGGAAAACTGTGAGAATGCGATTTTTTTCAAGTTTGTAATTTTTGTGGACATTTTCACGCGTTGTGTTCACGTTTGCCCACGACCTTGTGCATTTCCTGGTCGCCGTACGGTCGCAGCAGCACAGTAAGGACACCGCTACGGTCTGACGGGCGCTTTATAAGTCCACGACGGCGTGGACTATATGCGCCGGAGTGCCATTGTTGAACGATGCAAACCGTCCTCCCGTCGTAGACTGGACTAACCAGGTGCTAGCGACTGTAATTCATATAAACTGCTCACGTATTTCGACGAACATAGCTGATTCGAAATTACAAAAATGTCTGCGATTGGTTTATAAACATTCATATTACATTACTATATGCTGTATGACCCATTTTGGTCCATTTTAGGTTTCAAAAAATAGAAGCTAGCTCCTTTGATATTGATGGATAAAACTCTTGAGACGGTATTTACACTTATATTACATATAATTATGTTTCTGAATTTTTTTTTTTAACGTATGGTGTTCATAGAGTGTATGGTGTTCATAGAGTTGTATTTGTATGTTGCTTTGTTGGTGGTTATAACGTCACACTACTCATACTACTAATGGTGGTTATAACGTTATACTACTAATGATGGTTATAACATCATGCTACTAATGATGGTTATAACATCATGCTACTAATTGTGGTTATAACGTTATACTACTAATGGTGGTTGTTAAGTTATATCACTAATAATGGATTTAACGTTATACTACTAATGATGGTGTAAAGCTGTACTACTAATACTGGTTATAACGTTATACTGCTAATGGTGGTTATAACGTTATACTACTAATGATGATTATAACGTTATACTACTAATGATGATTATAACGTTATACTGGTTATATCGTTATGATATTAATGGTGGTTATAAAGTTATACTATTTATGGTGGTTATAAAGTTATGATACCGGTATTGCCATGAAGTTATAATAATGTTGTTGCCATAAAGTTATAATACTGGTGTTGTTTATAATAAAGTCATATTACTGAAGTTGTTTATAAAATTATATTGCTGATGTTGTATAAAGTTATAATATTGATGTTCTTTATAAAGTTATATTGCTGTGATAAATTTAAATTATGATATCTGTATTATACAGTTTCATTGATCGGCATGTTTTTAAAATAAACACCAGACTTACACTTGAAATTGATATTGGCCATTAATAAAAAACCAAAAAACCAAAAATCTTTAAGTTGGTGTCCTTACCAAAATAAAATAAATCGGTAATAGAGTGTTCAAAAATCTTGTTAATGCTAGGTTCCCACTATAAAGATTCACTCTACGATTGAAATCGTGGTTTTAATCGTTGAGTAATCGTGGTGATCCTATCAGACCCTGAGTTCACAAAGGATTCTAAGACTTAAGAATTTACTCAATTTCCAATCACTGTTTATGATAAATATCTTTGATATAGAAACACTAAACTTTGCACATAGTTTCTTGTTGATATATTTGATATATTAAAACAACAAATGTTTTATAAAGGGCTATATTTTAGTTTAGGGTGGAGATTTTTGAGTAAATTCTTAACTTAAACATACATTATGCAAGAGCTCTGCCAATTGCAGGCCTTTCCTTAGGCCTCAAATGTTATATAAACTATATTAATTAGACATTTATTAACAAAACAAGATCATAATCAACTCTTGATGGCATTGGATACTCGAGATTTTAACTAGATTAGATCGGTTCGCCATGGGAAATCGAGACTAAGTCTCGAATATACCAGTGGCCTGGTTACCACAATGCACACATCTGGTCAAACCTACAAACAGCAATAACTTGGCTCAGGATGCGGTAATTTGAATGAAATTTTCAATATTTTCATTTTACATTATCTATTTTCAGCTATTATAGCAAGAATTGTCAGTTCTTTAGCTAAATTTGACATAATGTATCTTTAAGTCTGAGAATGTTTGGTAAACTCGGAGCCAGGTATTATCATATATTGAGGTCAGTCGTAGCAATCGTGTTAGTCGTATTGGAACGTATCGGAACGTATCGGAACGTATCCGAACGTATCTGCACGATAGGGACAGTCCGATGGTAACGTATCGCACGACCGTGGAAACATGGCAAAAATCACAACACCCTCTTATATTTACATTGGCAGACCACTCTGAAAAGGTTGTCAAAAAGGTAAGTTTTCTGATTATAAGTTTGACAGAATGATTTCTATGTTAGTTTTCTATAAATATGGAAAAGATTAATATGTTTTTTATTTGATTATGTTTAGATATTCCTGAAAGTAATAAAAAATCTTTCACGTTTGATTTCGCAATCTTAGGAAATTGTCGTAGTGTTATACAGACGTACTCGTTTTCCCTTTTTCATGAAATCGAAGGGAAAAAAAGAAACCAATTACAATCTGTACGGGGGGTTATAAAAGGCAACGGTTAATTAGATCCTTAACGAAGTAAGTGTTTATGACAATCGTCATTTATCGTTGTGCCGTTTGAGTCTGTGTAGAAGACTTTCTTTATGGGTTTAATTCAGCTCATGTTGTCAAGAAACCACAGCGGACCAGGGCCATCAATGACTTGATTCAAAACGATTAATAGAATTGTTTTAGTAACGCTACATGTTGATGACTGGCAGTGAGGGGTGGTGGGGTGATGTAATAAGCAGCGCGCTAGGCGGTCTCATTCTCATCGCTCGCGTCGCAACGTTTTAACGCCAAGGAGCAAGTCCACCGCTAACAGTAATTACCTCGTTAACACGGCTTATTTCCGATGAATGCTTACAACTCCATTATGTATGATTTGTAGTTCGTATATAATACAGAGATGGGGCTTTTCAGGGCTTCGCTATTAATTACGATGCCATCTTGACGCGAGCACCTTGCTTGATAGACGGGTGGGCGTTGTTAGAATTCACATTATATAAAGCCCCGATAAGCCAGCGAAAAACTATTTAAGTTTCAGAAAGAGATTACGCTTAGCTTCATTTGTTTAGTGTTCCTCATCAATATTTTTAATAAAAAATCACCAACACACTGGTAAGTTTTTTTTTTAACAAATATTTTATATCTTATAACTATTTTAGGATTTGATGCCATTTATGTTTCTTTTAAAGCTTAACCGATATTAATATTGATTCAGGGCTTTTTGTATCGTAGCAAGCAGCCTTTTCCGTTCACAAGCACGCTCTTGTTTGATAAAGAAAGGGCATCGTCAATCTAAGGTTACAATTCTTAGATAAGGAGGCAATAGCGCTTTGACGATCTTCGCCTTGCAGTAATAAAGGTAATTTCTATTTGTCCGTGGTTTGACTGGATAGTTTCATCCGTGTTTTGTGATGGTAATTTGAGACAAATCTGTCTATCCATCACTGAGAAACAGATTATATACGATAGTGATATTTAGGTGATCCGGGGGTTTAAATTGGTTTAATAAGGTAAGTATATGTTGAATGTGATATTATATAAAATTAGTTGGATTTCTTGTTGAGAGTTCCATTTGAAATGAATCACACTGGATTGATATGCAATTTTTGTACCAATGCGTATGTTCTCTACAGGGTTGGGGTTGAGGAGCTGTGTGATCTAGTGGTTTAACGTATGCGCGTAAAATCACAACACCTGTTATTGAGTCAAATGTCTTGGTTTCGATTCCTGGCTTGTACGTGACAGGGTTTCCCCCTACTGCTGAAGACCCCTACGCACAAGCGAACTATTAAAATAAAAATAAACCATGTCTGTCCCGAAATGACTTAGTTTTTGGCTAGTGGACATTACCCACCCCCTCTCCCTCTCTCTCTTAGGGAATTTGAAGGTATAGGTATAGGAGGTGGTTGGTTGTTTCGTACTGGAAATAGGAAGGTTCTGAATTTTTCAGCATGCTTAGAAAAACTTTGGGACGTGAACGTCCTGTGCTTTGAGCTACAAGTGCGCTGTTTACCTAAATATGCTATTTTCCCTCTCTGAAAAGGTGCGAAAAGTTCTTGATTCTCAATCGGCATGATTTATATTGTCTGACCGCGTTTCTATAATTTTTTTTACATAGTACCGGGAAAATGTTTTGGGCCCACAACTTACTATAGTAAAAATACCCAGGTTCGCTATGGAAACTGATGATCGGACTAGTATCTTATCTAAATAAATTTTGTCGCTACTTCTCATGGCTTAGTACGAAATAAAGGGGGGGGGGGGAAGTATTGAAATCAGCTCCTTCCAACCACCCTACCCATTTCCTTTCAAGGAACGCTTCGTGTGCGTGTGTGTGAAACAGCTTTATTTAATGTCCGCTTCCACCTAGATGTGAGTGTATGTGTGTGTGAAATAGCTTTATTTAATATCCGCTTCCAACGAGATGATATCGCAGATAAAGGAACCATGTACGAAAATGAAACTATTATAGTCTTTGTGATTTGTCCTGATTTTAAACTGATTTTTCTTTGTGCAAGGGCGAATAGGAATGTTTATGATTGATCTTCCTCATCTTGTTATTATTGTAAATGGCCATCCCAGGCCATCAATGGGTTATAGTAGACATGGTTTGTATAACTGTAGCACCACATCGATTTTATTGTTTTTCATTCAATTAAAAATGTTTGGCCGTTACGACTAAAATCTCTTTGGCCGTTACGACTAAAATCTCTTTGGCCGTTATAACCAAACTGTTTGGCCGTTATAACCAAATTTGGCCGTTATGACTAAAGTAGGACCGTTTTGACCAAACCTGTTATTGGCCGTTATGGCATTGGGCCGTTATGACCACATCCCCCATCAATTACAGTTTTATTTTTAGTGGTTTTTATTTTGATTTAGTCATTGTAGTGAGAATGTCTACAAGGACAACGACTTCACCCTAAGTTGCGGTAAGAAAATGACCGGGTGGTCTGACCCGAGTTCAAAAGTTTTGTCATCATCATAAGTTCCGGAAGTCCGACCCCAAGCTTGTATTTGAAACGGTGTAGGGTGGTCTTGTTGCTTTCCCCCCGTGTTCCCCTTTTCCTTCTACAGGGACGACTTCACCGTAAGTTGCGGTGAGAAAACGACAAGGTGGTCTGACCCGAGTTCAAAAGTTTTTTCATCGTCATAAGTGTCGAAAGTCCGGCTCTAAGCTTGTATTTGAGAGGGGATAGGTGGCCTTGTTGCTTTCCCCCCGTGTTCCCCTTTTCCTTCAACTGCTAAAGACTCCTGTACGCAAGCGAATCCCCCCCTCTCTCTCTCTCTCTCCCTCTCTCTCTCACTCTCTCTCTATTCACAGAGCTTTATTCGTAAAAAATTAAAGAATTAAAGATCATTTTAATTTAGGGCAATACCCTAGTCATTTAAAAGCACATCTGCATACGGAATGGGTGAGCGAGGGGTCAATCTCGCAAATAAGTATAATTGTCGATGACCGTTGAGAAAAAAATACACTTTTATGTTCTGAAACAAACTTTTTCCCGTCGGATATTTCGTTAACCGTTTTATAGAAATGTGACAAATGTTGCTATCATGTCCCTCATTGGCACAGATTTTGGAACATATTTTGTAGTAGATTTTCGTAATACATTCTTGTTAGGACAACGCTAACGAACTAGGGGCGCTGATTATGGCGGTATATTAGATTCAAAATTCTAACATGCTATCGTCTAATTTCTAACCTCCGTTCATGTAACTTCTAACCTTAATTCATGTAACTTCTAACCTTAATTCATGTTATTTCTAACTTCAATTCGTGTAATTTCTAAATTAAGACAATGTATAATCCAACTTCTTTATTTGTTCAGTGTAAATTTTAATTCTGTTTCGTCTTATTTTTATTGTTAAGACGAAAAATGTCTACTTCATTGTCACTTTACATGTTAATCATGAACGTCGAGCAAATTTAGAATTTTGATACCTCTACCTAGCAACCATCATTATGACGTCGTTTGGTGTCGCCACCGTGTGCTCAATTTGGTGATTGAGCACTGAGCGAGATCATTATGTTCCCACAAACGACTCGCTCTTCGTCAGGTTGAATGGTTTGGCGGAGTGTAAAAATTGAAAACAACATCGAACGTGATATGGTTTGCAAATACTGTTTTAAATATAAGCTAAACAGCATTTGTTATTTTTTTAAAAGAAAGGTGCAGGATTTCGAGAATTTTATTTTATTTTTATTTTACAGTTAAGCCAATTACTATTTATATACTGTTGATCTATAAATTATTCTGTTAATGCTCTAAAATATGTCTCTTTATACTACCCGAACGACTAGCCACTGTCCGTGTCAGACCCTTGTCTTGTATCAATAACAAGGGACGGATAACCACGCCGGAATATGGCGTTTATATTATAAAAAAAATATATGTCTATGGGTTATATAACATCGTCAGCTAGTATACACACTGGCAAAACTACGCTTTATAATATTTCTGACATTATTAGTTCCGTCCTTGTGATTTGCGGAGGTTGCCGTTATTGTAGGCATATACAGTGTCTAGTAGTTCGGGTCGGACGAAAACCGTTGCAGCTGTTATTCGTAATAAAAGTAGACCGTAAATTTCACTCATGGCACACCGTAAGTTCGTCTTCATTAGCCTGGATGGTGTAGAAAAGTAGGACGATAAACCGCTATCTATGAATTTCGGTATTGCTTTATGCAACTTGAATAAAATATTTTTGGAAAAAAAACTACCATAAAGTTAGTCAGGTCGGTGTAATGAAGGAATCAGAAATAAAAACTCCATCGCTATCCACATGAACAGATTATCCCAGACTCCCGAAAAGGCCGTTTCATCCCTACAGTACGAGGTTTCTAAATTGAACCATTCAAGAAAAGGTTTATCATTTTTGTTAGAGGTAATAGAATACAGATTAACAGTAAATAAATATTATGGATGGCTTAACTGTCTTCAAGAAAATTGAAAAAAAAATGCTGTTAGGCTTTTATTTGAAGTAGTATTTACCAACCATTTCACGTTCGATGTTGTTTTCAATTTCACCATCGATTCCCTGGTTGTACTTGTCAAGGAGTAGGGTCGTCTGTCCAACCTCGTGGGTTTTCTCCGGGTCCTCCCACTGCTAAAGACCCCTACGCGCAAGCGAAATGAGCACGTAGTGGCGACACCAAACGACTTCATAATGATGGTTGCTAGGCAGAAGTGTAAAAATTCTAAACGTGTAAAGAATCAATGAAGAAGACGTTTTTCGTCTAAATAATAGAAATAAGATGAAATAGAATTAAAATTTACACTGAACAAATAAAGAAGTTGGATTATACATTGTCTTAATTTAGAAATTACACGAATTGAAGTTAGAAATTACATGAATTAAGGTTAGAAGTTACATGAATTAAGGTTAGAAGTTACATGAACGGAGTTTAGAAATTAGACGATAGCATGTTATAATTTTGAATCTAATATACCGCCATAATTACATGAATTAAGGTTAGAAGTTACATGAATTAAGGTTAGAAGTTACATGAACGGAGGTTAGAAATTGGACGATAGCATGTTAGAATTTTGAATCTAATATACCGCCATACCTGATAAGAGTTCTAATTTATAGTTAAGAATCGATGGTCAAAATTTATATAACTAAATCATTCCGAGTAAGCGTTGATATTGTTTTTATGATTTTTATATCTACAATGTTATTGATTGTAAAGGTTTTAAAAGATCAAACTTGTACAGTTTGTAGCGGGGGGGGGGCGAGTGGTTAGTGCGTGCGCTCTGTATCATAAGGTCTGCCATTGAGTCAACTGGCGTGGTTTCTATTCCCCTGTTGTAGGTGACAACTATTATTGAAATAAAATTGAACCATATGTTAGTCCCGAAATGACCTAGTTTGTGTCCCGAGCACGTTAAACCCCATTTCTCTCTCTCTCTCTCACTCTTGTACAATTTGTAAGAATTTGACTTGAAGCCAATAAACAGTTCATAACCCATCTTTCCCCGTGGTCGTCTAATATTCTCCGATGTCGAGATTTGACAAAGTACCTTGTGCATGGGCATCGAATGAAAAGCTACGTATCTATCTGGTCCCTTGTTTGTATAGGGGGTTTGGATGGCTGAATGGTTAGC